CCGATACCCTGCTGACTAAATAATTAATAGAAAAATAATTATTTGGTCAGCACGTTACTGGCTTTCATTTTCGCCAATCGATTTTGTTATATGAATTACATTCCCTACATGCCGTTTCGGCCCAAAAGGGCAGACTTAATTGGTTTAAGGCAAATTTTAAAATCAAAAGTGCAACCTGACACAAACCCGGTTGCCAGCCAATCACCAATCACTTAACCTCCCGTCGTTTCCGAGAAAATTGAATAGGAATTCGGAGAGGCTCAGATCCAAAAAAATAGCTCCACATAGATTTTGATACTGCTTCGCTCGTTTGTTAATATTTAGTTAAAAACGATAAGAAAAATAAAATTATGTTGTTTAAATATTTTCAGAAACCTTTCCGATGTTAAATTTTTTTGAGATGAGATAGAATCCGCACCGTAAAATTTGTTTTTGAAAAATCGTATAGAAAATTCAGTGTCACAGATGAATATGCATACAAACAAGTAATAATATTTCTTAATACTTATAGAACTCAATAATATACTAAAGGTTCGTTTCAATTTATTCAATCCAATTTACTAAAATAGTGTGGCAATGTAAGGATTTTGATTACTTTACCCATTTTTGATATAATTGTTTGACCTGAAAACTTAAAACAACTTTTAACATCTACGGTATTACAGAAATCTCCCACAGTTTTCGGGACAGTTGGCTTAAAATCACACCGACTCAGCGCCGAATTCCTAATGTCATTATAAATTTCGACATGAACAACGCAGTGAAGGACAATAAAATGTATATACTGTGATAATGTATGTATATTGACATTTATTCTTGACCAGCAAGAGATACACAAAAATATCATATAAAACCTTTTTTCCATTTAAGAAACATGGTCTTAAACACCGGACGAATAATGTTAATACCTGCCATAGGAAGATTGTTTTTTGCTTAAAATGAGCAACAATACTCGCAATGTGAGCACTAATAAATAAAATTAAGTAATTTTTCTTAAAGCAGACAGGGCTACCCGACAGTTATGGGACACTTTAAGGCCCTTGACATAAGAAAAGTAAAATACTCTTTTAAAATTAGTGCCACATTATGAGCTTGATTTTTGGCCTAACTTCTCAACTTTTACACATTAAAACACAGGAATATCCAATGAAAGAAAACGTTTATAACGGATAGGGTAAAGCTCCATAAAAAAGGACCCGCCCATTAGTAAGCTCAAGGCAAATAACAAAGCCTGGAACATGGAACTCTTAAATCGTACCACATTAAAGGCACTCAAATACAACGAACAAGTTAGTTTGGGTCTAAAAAGCCTAGGAAAAAATAGCCTCATCCTGCAAAATATGATAAATGGCAGGTGCTTAATCCGCAAATGATATATACAATACTTTTAGTTTGTCAGTCATATTCAGGACTTGTCGGGGCTTAGTGTCTGGATCAGGACATACATGGGTGCAGAACAGTTGATTCCGAAAATCAATTAAATTAGGATTTAGCTGTGGAGGGGTAATGTTCTGATGTGAGATACATACTATGCCCAGTTCACAATTTAAAAATGTTGTGATATGTGTCTATCTGAGAGAAATTCCCAGGAGTGCGGAAAGTGTACAATTGAAATGTACAACCGCACCTTAAAATGTAATAAAATCAAAGAAATTGATTTATGGTTTTTTTTTTTCATTTTTCACCACAAGAGGCAAAAACATGCTGTAAAATAGGAAGCCTTACTCGCCAAAATAAAGGTGTAGAAAGTCAGCTGGGAATTTTAGTTTGGATCACCGCCGAAAGTCGTAAAAAAAAGCTAATAAAAATTCGTAAGCAGGCAGCCATAACTCATAAGCCATGTCACAAGAACTTTACGTTCAATCGTTAACTTTTTTTTATTATTTTAGAAAATTGCCAATAAAAGAAAACGTTCGGGAATAAAAATACATTTTCTAAATTTAAAACAAATTATCTCGCATCAAACGATAAACAAAAATGAACGCTATCTCAAGCGCAACGATGATGTGAAAATGTGTTCTTTATATTAAATTTTGTTTGCCTTTTATTTTATTTATTCAAAATCCTCGTGTATTTTTAGTTTTGAATGGTGTAAAAATATTGCACCAACGTCATATTTCAAAATCATGAGAATCAAGGCTTTGCTGAAATGTCCATTTGTATAGATACACCCCAAATTAATTTCATTTCAGACTAGATAGCAAGGCAAGTTTAATGAAAGTACCAACTTATTTTCCCAAGGTGATTTAGGTTTGCAAATTATGTAGCAAAAAGTTAATAGATTAGTCTTTCAAAAATTCATTTGAAATAATCAAATTAATTATGTTTGCATTCCAAAATTCCAAGTTCTAATTAATGCTTTAATGTACCGTACAAAGGTGTACATCCCAAAATTAATTTGATGCTCCTGTGGATATTCGAATAGCCTGTCGCCAGCAGAAAGTGCGATGGAAACGGACCCGCAGAACATGGGAGTGGGAGGGATTCCCTTACCTTTATAGTCGACATGACAATGTTTGTCATTTGCGCTTCATTTGGTTTTTGCCAGTTCTGGGTGGTTGTTGGCGATTTCGTTCATGTCTAAGTCAGACGATGATGTTTAATCTTTTAAAAGCCGAGCTACCCTGCTTATAACAGTTACATATACTTGCACAATCGGGATTCACATGGTACTACCGGAAACAAAATTTTAGCGTCACCAAAATTATCTTGCACACATTTTTGTTTCTCAGCTTAACAACGTCTTACTCAAACACAATAATACAAACGATAAACGGCACCCGAAACGAATAAATATCTTTCCCGAAAGGACTGAATCTCTGAATTGTAAAGCTGGAAAAACATCGATGTTTGCTTGCATAGATGTATTTGAGAACATATTAATCGATGTTTTTAAAATTAATAAATGGGTTTTTCAGTCCTAACCTTTATTTGAAATTATTCAAGAAAAGGTTTTTGTTTAGAAAAACAAGTTTGTTGACTGTAACCGACTTCAGGCAGCTCCTGCGATCGATTGTAACTTGGCCACTGCTTTGCTTTGCAGTAGACTTAAATTCTGCCATGTTTTGTGGACTCATCTAAAACAAAATCATTATTGGTCAATTATTATTAAAACTGTTAATGGAACTTACCTTATAAGGTAATAGAGAATCACAATCCTCAAAGCATTCCGACTTTCAAGGTTCTGCCTAAGGCTGATAATTGAGTCTGCTCTGAAAGACTTAACCCTTACAGATACTTTCTCCTACCTTTCTCTCTCGTCTGCAGCGAACACCACCAGTTATGTTCTAAAGCAGAAGTACATATAAACACTTAATACTTACATACATAAAACAAAATTTAAGTTACAAACTCACCCTCCTTCGAGTTTCTCCAGAAAAGTGAAAATAATTGATGTTTGCCAAGTGAACATCGATGTGCACAAGTTGAACTTGCTAAAATTTTAGCAGTTCAGCAACCAGTGGCTGCTGAAAATTTGTAAAATATTTCTGCTGAATTTTCAGCAATTCAGACTGGAAATTTCCGAAACGTCTGAATCTGTAATTTTGCTGAAAATACGGCAGAAACATACTGAACATTTTCAGCAGCCACTGAAAGCCAGATCGACAAACAGTTACACCAGCGTAAGAACTTTATTCATTCTAGTGTGACCGGTTTTCGTCGATCTGAGTTCTAGGCCTAACGGTCTTACTGTCAGTCAGCTGGGCTTGTTGCAACTATATTTAAGCATTATCATTGAAGTACGTACTATTTAACAATGTAAAATTATGAATTACAATCTGTTTAATGTTTTCAACTATTTTTTGGACCGCGTTCAACAAAAGTGGCATATAAATGGATCGGGAACATTTTGTCGTCAACATTGTATTATGAAGTACATTTTGTTGAGTTTTTGGGTTTTACCGTCCATTTTTTAACCTCAAAAGATTAAATTTTTTATTCTTTACGCCGGGGCCTGACCCGTTCACCCAGAGAAATCTGGCAACGCTTTGCAAATTTTCTGGTATGTTTTGAGCAACGGGGTGAAAAAAGAGACTGACGAAAAGTGGAGTACTAGGCTGAACTGCTGAAATTTCAGCAACTTTAATTTATATGGAACAGGTGACCGAATTTTAGTATATTTCTGCTAAATCGGGAATACTCAAACTGTATTAATTTGATATAAGTCGGCTGCCATAGGCTTGAAACATGTTTTAGAAAATCGATAGAACTTTTATAGAATAGCTGAAGTATAAAACAAATCAAAATGAAGCAGATCAAGTCGTAATTCTCAGATAGGCAATTAAGTTGCAGTCGAGTGTAAGACCATAAATTTGAAGACAGTCAACATGTAAAATCCATTTCCCAGCTTTATTGGGGCTTCAGTAAGCAAGTATTCGTGGAACAAAGCTTCAGACTTGCCACCATAAAATTGATACTTGAGCTTGAGCAAAACAATAAAAAGAAAATAGTAATATTTAACTGCATTACAACTAATTTATAGGTTTACTCTTTATCAATACGTAACATGATGCATTAAAATGTTGTTCTTGGGTAATACATTAAACCCAAATTTAATGTTTCCGCAAGGAAACCCGAAGTAAGTCTTAGGTAACATGTATGTGCACATTCACAAAGCACGTGTCAACACATTTTTCAAAAGGAATCTTAATGAACCGCTGTCTATCTGATTGCAGGCTGTGGTCTGGTGGTGATGGCAAAATAGGCAAGGACATGGACAAACACAAATCTGCCATTTGTTAATCGAGACACGAACACGCAAATCAAAATCACAAATAAACACGAAAAACAAAGACGCAATCCGAATCAAATGGACTCAGGCACACCTGCGACAAGCTGTCATCATATTTATTTGTTCTCTTCGAAATAAGGGAAAAAGCTATCCATTTTTGTCTTCCACGTGCGAAGAGTCAAATTTGTGTTGATTATCTTGAAGTCTTCATTCTCTTTTGAGAGATTTAAAGATAAAATATATATTCTTAAACTTAAAACATGCTTACCTTTAGGAAATATTAGTTTTTCCAGAACTTAAATAACCCCTCCTTTTGTCTCGTGCTTATTATCCGATAGATTAGTAACTTCTATCCCTTGAAAATGGACCGGCAATAAAGTTGTCGCCTTATTCAGGGTATTCTGCCTTGCGTTGTTTTTGTTGAGCAATTGGATTCGTACATTTTAAACACTATTTTACAAACACAGTTACACTACGTTTTGGTTTTGAATAAGTTGAATGTAATGCTGTAGATAAATATTACATTTTATTGGGTGCCGTCAAGTTTAAGTAACAAAATGCTTGGTTTGTTTAAAAATATTATTGTTGTTCTCAATGCTCTGATGCGTTGCACTTGTTGTACCGCGACTTTTTGCGAATTTCACTTGTTGTAAAAATGGCCTTCGTTTTTCAAAACCGATTAGTTAATAATTATTTTGCGTATCCTAAATTATTTTCTCAACGAACTTTTTCAGTTCTATAAATATCACAAACAAAACATTAATTTCTGAAATCATTTGAAACACTGCCCAAAAAGCCTATTCGGCTGTGAAAATGTATACCTCATATTTTTATTATAGAAATAATAATGAAATTTTAAATTGTGCTTTCTGTTAGTGAGGGGGCACATTTTTGCAAGCTGACGAACATCTAATCAAAACTTTCTGAAGATTTCAGGACAAAGCAATTGGGTATTTTTTTACACCTGAACAGGTATTTCTTCGATTTCATAAATTTGCTTTAATAAATCACCTCATATGAATTGTCAAAACTCTAAAAAAAATGTATCTTATGACCTGTCAAAAAAATTAAGTCGAACAGAGTTAATTGTTAGAATAACGTTTAAGAGGAAAACGATTTCAGAATATTAAATTTTTAAACAAATGCTTTTTTCAATAGCGTTATTCGTACAACTTTTTTCGAACAAATTCAACATTTAAAAATTTATGTTCTGACATATCGATGCAGTTCAAATCAAAGATTATTCATATACACTGACAGATCATCAATATTTCAGAAATCACGTTCCAGTCGCGTTCGAGCATTCGGCAAGACGAACTCACACATTCGCGTGCGGTTATTCCGATTACTTAGTACGAAAGCGCATGAAATATTATCCAAAAAGCACTCTGATCAGAGGGTCCGAGTTTTCCGTCGATTTCTGCATTTCGCGTCCGATTCGTTTGAGATGCCGCGACATTCTGACGTCTCCGGCTCGTTCCCCTGAAAGCGGGCTACCGAAACCGTCCGAATGAACGGCAGTCGGCAGCTGCTGTTGGCCAAGTTAACAGCTCTGTTAGCACTCTTTATTGTTGTGGCAGGTTTTATACATTTGCGTCACGTGCTGCTGGCTGTTGTTGTTGCATTGAACTTGAACTAGAGGCGAAGTTGTTGTCGTTGTGGTTGTTATTGCAATTTTCCTGTTGTTCTGACATTGGCGCGCGTTTCGCCGGCTGTTTATCGCTGGCATTCGGCAGCTTTTCTCACCACGCAGGCGCTCTAAACTGGGAAGACCATATTTTTTAGTTTTTGGTTTAGGATTTCATTTGGTGTGTTGCCGCTGGGGCAGTTCTTGCCAGGCTGGTGCTATAGAAAGATTAAATAGCTCCTGTTCCTGTACTTGCATAAAGTAAAACTAATTATAAATGCGATTTTCAGGGAGCCCATGATGGCAAAAAGCGCAATGTCTTCTATACCGAAATTAAATGTAGAGTTAAATATGATCGGTTGAGGATCTTATGTTATCTTATGTTTCTAGTGCCCTAAATATGAATAATAATAAAAGTAAAAAGGTTAGCTACTGAGTTTTGAGGATAAGTTGACTACGCATTAAAACAAAACAAAAAGCCGCTGCGAAAAATTCCTTGTGTGTTTTGGCATGGCTTGCATTTAAATACATTATGTTTGCTCCTTTCCGATTCTTACCCTGACTTCACTGCAAATGATTGATGTTTACGGGGTTATATACAGTTAGAAGGCCGAAAGAAAATAGTTTTCAGAATATTTTTCTGAGAAAACTTATAAATTTATTGATCTTAAAAATTGTTCACATACTAAGGTAGTTTTTAACTGTATTTAAAGTCTTAAACGAAACGGGATCCTTCGAAATTAAAAAAAAACAAACAGATTTCTTAAAGTAATGTTGAATCTAGTAATTAATCCAAGGAAATATTTATTGTTGAAAAAAAATCTTCGATTAATTACTAAAAAATATATTTAATAGACGACTGCATGTATGTCGAAAACCTGCATTCGAACTCAAAATAAGTTAAAGTAATTTAATGATAAGCTAGACAGGTATGAGTGAGTGTGTTTTCTCACATATTTTTCAGTGGTATAAAACCCGAAAGTAAACGAAATGACCGAATGAGAACGAGAATTATTAGAATGCAAAAACATAATCTGGTTTATGGCTATTAAACAACGCCTAAATGAGATGGTCGAAAAGTCGAGAACATATATTAATTCAGCGGGTAATCAGTGACCAATTTGCGCTACATATGCTGTTAAACCGTTATAATCAAAACACCTACACTAAATAAGCTATAATAATCTTATAGTCGGATTCCATTGGCGCATTCAATCGTACTAGCCTAATGCACATTTATGTACACAGGGCTTCCCCGTAAGCCCGTTTGTCAACAAGCCCAGCAGACTGACAGTAAGACCGTAAGACCAAAACTTCGATCACACTAGAAAGAATAAACTTATTACGCGGGCGTAACTGTTCGTCAATCTGAGTTCTAGCCTAGTAAAAAGTTTATTTTAATTTTTAGAAGTTTATCAAAAACATCAAGCCATTTGTTTTAAATATGAATAATGTTAAAAACTGTTAAAGAATAAAAAAATGTGCAAAGAGGAATTAAGATTAAGTTTGGCAACGTAGTTCTTACAATGAAAAGTAGTTACTAATTAACATAGTTTAACGAATGTTATTTCTTATTTGATTTAAACATTTAAGCAATTTATTAGAAAAATACACATATTTATTATGAATATGGGAAATATTAAAAGTTGACACTAAAAACATTTGTTTTCTAGCTTAAAAATAAAAAATTTGTTTGTAATGATAACAAATTCCTATTTTTATTACAATGCGTAAGTATTTACAATATTAAGATATACGAATATGTATTCATAGCTGGCATCCTTTGAATGCAATCCAAATTTTGTTGTGCTCTTTTTTTTAACATTTGTCCATTCTTTTGCACACACATACACATGTGAATATTCACACAGGGCGTGTGGTCGCGAGGAATATCACTTTAAGGTTTACGGTCGAGCGACGCGGACTTGTTTTAAAATAATAGAAGTGTTTTATGTGAGAGTGGATTAGAGTTGTGATGAAAAGGTGAGTAGGAATTTTTCTAGGTTTTTTCGTTTCTTTTGTGTTTATTCTTATCTTTTTATTTCGTTTTAATTTTATATTCACTTCTCCTACGCTTGTAAACCATGTAGTTTGTACAATTAGAAGCTGCCGCTGAAAAGGCAAATGGAGAATATAGCGTTACTGGCTCATTCAATAATATTGAATCAATATTACCATCAGTCGACTCATTAAATAAAAACGCGGCACCATTTTTACGAGCTTTAAGTTCAGCTTTGACGATCTTAAGTTTGTCAAGCTTCCCAAGTACAGCCGAAGTCTGGTTCATAACGACAGACTAGGCCAGTGGATGAATCACTATTCTCGTAGTCACATTCTAGTAACTTGCGAACCGCATCGGGATGTAGTTTGCACACGTTCGGAACACAATTTGGTGGATGCTAACCAGGGGGCAGCGGACCCCCTACGACATGTTGAGTGCTCGTGGCTACTGGCATTTTCCGTATATATTCAGAAGTTATGAAAGAACTAACATAACATTCGTATGCGTTATGGTTTTCGGCAGTGATTCGTCCAAAACTTCCGGACCTGAGAGTCTGATCATGTTCTGTCATTTCAGGCATTTCTGGCAACATTAATTTAGTAGTATTAGCACCAATTCCCCAGATGTAGTCATATATTGGCTGTGGAATATTATACTCACTAGCACTAATTGCTACTGTGAATCCATCATTCTCTGGAGCTCAGGTATATTGAGGATGTAATTTCCTTGATACAATTGGTAGGCAACTAAAAATTCCGTCATCGCGTGCTGGAAAATTGGAAAAGGGAGGCTTCATGTCATCTTTTGATCCTCAAAATTCTGGCCTTATGTTTTCTTGACGGGTTTGCTTGCACATCCATTTCTCATACAAAGGGTTTCATCCTTAGGAGCTTTTGAGCTGTTACCGTTGTGGATGGTTTAATTTCGGGAGCAGTTTGAGCTTTTCTGCCACCTTGTCCACTTTTGCCATTATTGTTATTATTATTTTTATTATTGCGCTGGGACGGCCGCTGAAAGTTACTTGCCCGCTGGGATGGTAAGCGGGTATTGTCTCCCTGACCAGTTGAAATACCAAAAGTGCTGGTTGAAGCCTCCTTCATTGTAGTTTGCTATCCGACTCGCATTTCGGGCAGACATTCTGCGGCCTCTCTGCTGCTGATCCTGTTCTGCGGGTATTCCACGCTGTTGACCTTGGTTTTTATTGCTGCTTGACGCTATTGTAGGCTTTAGTTATAACGTTGAGCGGTCTAAAAACGACAAGGTTGGAACCTAATGATGAACAATGTCGTAAGTATAATCTTTTCAATAATTTATTATTTTATTTAATTAATAATAATTAGTTTTATCAGCGGGGGACATCCATGATGCTATTCCGAGAATAGGCACAAGCGGTGTTGCGGTCAAAAGTCATTTTAGTTAAGTAATTTTTTGTTGACTGTTTATAAATTTGTTTAATAGAAAAAGCTGCCAATGCAAAATAAAGGATACAGCTATCGAGTTCTGAAGGGAACTATGTAAGGTTAAAAATAATTTAATATAATAATAATGTATTCTTTTGTTGTATTTTTATATGTTCAAGCTTATGACCAAATAAAAAAAAATAATTAACAATATGTCATATTTATTTGAAATACGGTCAATATTAAAACTAATATATATATATTACTATTTAGATTGAACACAAAAATGTTGAAAATAATTATAGGCTTTTGTTTATTGTGAATATGAACTAAATTTGAAATAAATATTGATTCTTATAGAATTGAAGTTTGAAATGTTCAAATCAATTATGAAAAAAGTTACTATGATTTACTACGAGGCATATTTAAATTCAATATTCTTAACTATTTTGGCATATTTGAATCAAATACAAATGGTTTGAATTTACTTTTGCGCATAATTAAATAACAAATAACTATGCGGCATATTTATGTATACTATTTTTATGTGTGGTTCTAAATCGTTAGGATGATTCAATGATTTGAAATAGTGACATTTACTATTTTTTATCAAAAAACAGTGATTATGCACTAACTTTTATTATATTACTTAAAAATACAGATTTTGATTAAACAAAAAAGAAAAAAGTTTACTTTAATTCTTTACCACTCAATTTGTATATTATAATGCTGATGCTCACACATAATAAGGATGATTTTTTTTTTAAATTGGGTGAAAGTTAAATGTATTGCGTGAAAAAGAGAAAGCCAATTACCGATTCACTTTTGCATTTAATTCCGATAGGAAAGCAACTTGCGACCAAACACCAAATTTTTTTAAGTGAGAAAAGCATACTGCAAAAGGAGTTTGTGTGCGCTATACGGCTGGCCATAACAACAAACTTTATTAAAGCGGAAGTGGCCTGCAGTACAGCGGAAGTTCCGGCAGCTAAGTGCTCGTATCTGCCTCTGTGGCTACTGTGCAGATGTGGATTTCAATTAAGTTTTTAAATATTTTTTGAGAATGGTTTTTAAAACATTCCAACTGACCTATTTTATTAGACTAATCAAGCCGGATGAAATACCCGTTCCGTACTACTCTGTAGTATTTAAAAACATTAATTTTTGGTTTAAACGGTATAACGAAAATGTAAATTTAATGTTTTTACCCTGAAAATGTATGCATTATTTATTTAAATCAAATGCGAGTTGAAAGAAATGTTGATTATTAACGCAACATATTGTTTCTGAGATGTGTTAGTTATGTTGGTTTAATCTTAATTAACCGTTTTCTTTAATGGGTCGAATACGACTTTTACATTCTGGAACACGAACAAAGTACTACTTTGAAGATTGTTCACAAATTTAACAATGCGCGAAGACTTGTAACATGTATGGTACGGCAAGGTGTAAAAGTGGCTGATGTCTGTTTCAAAAGAATTGCTTGCATTAAAGTTTACAAACAAAAATCAATTGTCGGAGTCATCTGGTTGCGGATTCCTTGCAATGTCACTCGCGTCTACATAAGGGAATCCCAAAAAGCTCCGAAGTTTGAATGTTTAAAGTTTGGATCCGCTGAAATCAGCGATTGCAAGAGTATAAGACCAAAAAACTAAGCAAAAGATAAGGAATGATTTGCACTCTAACAAAAAGACAAAAAAAATGCAATGGAATTTGATTTTTCACCCTGTCCTCCTATGCCTCGTATAACTATCCTTCAGCCATTTTTACATTTCCGCCATTGGCAAGTCGAAACCATCGCCAAGTTCGAGTGGAAAAGTAGTCATAAGTCGAAGATAGCACATGGGTGCGCAAAGTACTTGGAAAATGAAGGCATTAAATTGTGGCTGGCAAGCTTTTGGCAAATAAATTAAGTATGTGTACTTTGAGCTTAAGGCTTGCCAAAGAATAGAGCGGGCAAGGAAAGATTAAAAGTTACCAACGACTTTGAATGCAAATTTAATTTGAGACGCAGCATGACGCGTGGAATAGAAATTTTAATCAATTGTCTCCAACTCTGTGAAGAACCTAACAAACACATCCCCTCTCATCCAGTCACAATTCGATTGAAATTAATTGATTTGCCCCTCCATCCGACAAACATAATTTGACAATGCGGTTGGCGAATCCCCTAAGGAATTTAAAACTGATTTAACAGTGAAAGGGCAAGTAATTCAATAATCAAATGCGCAATTACTAAATATGAGTATTCTTAGGCTTATTTAATACAATATTTTCAATTTTTTTCGCTTGCAAATGGAAAGGTCCGAGCTCTCAGTTCCGGGCACCACACGTTCCCATGAATTTCGTTACATTTTTTCTTTTTACGGCTGCGTAGGTTTCTACACCTGGAGTATAGTTTTCCGCCTGGATTGTCTCATCCCTTGCGAGGCATAAAGTAGTAATTCTACGTTTAAACAAGAAAGAAAGCAAACTTCGGCAAGCCGAAGTTCATATACCCTTGCAGCTATTGCAAGAATTAAACATTTTTGAAAACATTAAAATTATGATTTACTTGCGTTGTGTTTAAAAATATTGAAGCTATGATGATTTGCAGCTCAATTATTTGATTGTTATTTTATATATTTTTATTATTTCTATGGGAGCTATATGATATAGACGTCCGATTTTGATAAAATCTAAACCATAATTCTGAAATATTTAACCATTGCTATATGTCGAAGAACTGAACAAAAAATTAAAAAACAGAAAAGTTTTAGTTTTTATACCTTTGCAGAGGGTATTATAATTTCAGTCAGAAGTTTGCAACGCAATGAAGGAGACATCTCCGACCCTATAAAGTACATATATTCTTGATCAGCATCACTAGGAGATTCGAACTAGCCATGTCCGTCTGTCCGTCCGTTTCTACACAAACTAGTCTCTCAGTTTTAAATCTATCTGCATGAAACTTTCCCAAAAGTTGTCTTTATATTGCAGGTAGTATATAAGTCGGAACGAGCAGGATCGGACGCCTATAGCATATAGCTCCCATAGGAACAATCGTGGCTATACAAGCGGAACAAATAGAATATCGAAGTCCATGCGAAACATGCGAAAAATCAGCTTTGCAGAGCATTTAAACATAGATAAAAATTATGAATAAAAAAAATCGATTTTTTGAAACGGCTAGAGCTTGTGGTTGGCATCGTCCCTCCGCTTGCTCTCCTCCAGCTCCCTTAATAAAGCTTACTCCCTTTTACGGCTAAGCTTTATTTTTCTTAAATTTTATCAAAAATATTTGGTCAAACTAGGAGATATAAATTCTGGAAATTTTATTATAAGTGCCATAAATTGTATTATAGATGGGACACACTTTCCAAAGTGGTAAACTGCGTGGAAGCACTTGAAACAATGTTGACCTTAAATTAAAGCAAATAGGTACAAAATTATTTATTTGTAATATAAATGGGTAAACTTCCGAAAAGCCCCAACGCACGATCATTTTTAAATTTGCAGGATACATGTATTTTGGAGTCTTGATTACGAATAAATAGGTCAAACGGTAATAACCGTTATTAATATTTTTTTTTTCCATTAATTCCTATAAGATGAACTTTATCAAAAAAACTTTAATCAAAAGTTGGAGATCTAGTTGAAATAGACATTTCATGTTTAGTGACTCTGCGTAATGCTGTTAGTTTTTGAGGAAAATGGAAAAATGAAGTGTAAAATCGCGCGATTATTGTTTAAAAAGTTTTTCATTTTGCCTTATGTTGCCAGATCGGCCCCTCCTTTTTAAATGACTGTTAAAAAGCAACCTTCTTTGGTTGATATCTCGAAAAAATGTGAATTTCAAATGGACATTACACTTTTGTTTGGAAAATACATATTTCCAAAAAAATTAGAAATAACGGTTCTTAACTTTTTTTTTCCAAGAAATCGTTCTAGTCGCCACTTTTAAATATTTTTTCGTTATTAGATCCCCAAAACACATAGATGCTGAAAATTTGAAAATAATCGGGCGTTGGGGCTTTTCGGAAGTACAGCCAAACCAAGATCTCCGCGCGGAGATATGTCGTTTGTAGAAGGGCGGAGATATGTCATTTTAAGATGACATAACTCCGCGTTGGTCAATAGGGGACAGAAAAAACGACAGAACTCCCCAAAATAAATCACGACATATCTCCGCCGACAAAATACACTGGGCGGAGATATGACGCCGGAAATATATCTTTATCCCGTTGTACCGTGTAGGCAAAAGTAATATGCTCAGTTCCGAACAAAAAAAATATATTCATATTTAAAATAGTTAAAAACCGTTAATGCAAATTCAAAATTTCTTGCTTTCAATTTCGCATTGCGGTTTTTGATCATTTTAAATATTAATTTAAATTTAATTTCTGACAATTTGATTGAAATTTAAACCACATCAAACTTTTAAAATATCAGGAACAACTTTAAATCAAACACATATCACAATAATTTAAATATAAATTCATGCTATTTAATATGCACTGTTTTAATTAATATTATTTAATTTATTTTATTTAAATATTTAATATTAAATTTGGAATTCAACTTTTCATATCAGTGTAAGTAAAACTTTCTGAAAATGCACTTGAAACTTTTAGGTTTTCACTGCGCTTTGTCCGCACTGCAACGCACTTTTAATTTCACTTACTTGTTTTCTCTTAAAAAATCAAAACCCTTTTTTCGCCAATAACTTATTGCGCAATTAAAATTGTCAATTTTAACATTTTTATATAATTATTTTTTTATTAAACGAGTATATTTTAAATATGTGTTGCTTGTAGAATTTTTTCATTATTTTAAATAATTTTTTATGATAGTGTCATTTTTATAACCTCACCACAAAATCACAATAAAAACAATTATATTTATTTGCAAACATATAATTAACTTAAATTCCAAGGGCGTACAAATGTCGTTGCCCCCCAAAGGCTTTTCGGTATAACTCCGTTTGGGCCTGGCAAAACACAAAGGATAGATAAAAAGAGCGAATGGGGGAAGAGACAAATTATGCGTTGGCCAAATGCCATTAGAAAATAAGACTGAGCAAGAGAGAAAAGCCTATGATGGTCTTTCTCTTACTTGA